ACTCCTTCCATCCACAGGCTAACCTCTTGCAGAAAGTCCTGAGGAGTTCTGTCTGCATCAGGGTCACTGCAAAGCCAACCAGTTCTGCTTCCAGCTTTGATTTCTGCATCCCAAACCTATCCATCCTTTCCATCTCTTCTTCAAACCCACCTTACACAAGCACCAAGCTCAGGCCAACCCTCGTTTTGCTTTCTCAGCCCTTTGACACAGATCCCTGGCTCTGCTTCTGTCATTATAAAAGATTGGCTTTCCTTGATGGAGCTTTCAGTCAAGGAAAAAAATCAAAAATAAAGGGGGAAAAAATAACCAGGAAAAGAAGGGGAAAAAAAACCAAACAAAGAAAGGAAAAGAAATACAAATGAGACTTTCTGGCAGCAAATGGAAGATAAAACTTGGACCTGGCTTGTGTTTGAAAGCTGATAGCCAGCACTGGGCAGCTCCACAGACCCCCCCCAGCTGCAAACACCCCTCGCCCAGAGCAGGGGGTCTCACACAGGGTTGGACCCCAGGGTTTTTTCCCCTTTCCCACATCCCCACCACGCTGCAGCCTCAGCCTGGGGCAGATTTGGCCCTGCTGCGTTTTGGGAGCACGAACAGAGCGAGGTGCTGCTGCTGGGGTGGGGGCAGAGGCCTGTGAGTAATCTTGCAACCTTTCCTTTCAGTGTTTGAGAGAAGCGAAGGCTGTTTACAATAAGAGCCAGCGATATTTTTCATCCTTCCAAATGGAACAGGGATTCTATAAACAGAGGAGCCTCAGACACAGCAAACACCTGTTGAAGGGAACCGGCTTGAGGAGACACGCGAGGTCTCCCTGTCCATCCATCAGAGGCTCCCGGCCACTCGTGCTCAAGTTCAAGTTGAAGTGCACAGATCTGCTGCTGGGGGGAGGCTGGGGTAAGCAAAAGCATGAACAAATATCCCCTGGTTTTCCTTGGGAAGTTGTGGAGCAAGGGAACAAATTTCCACCTCCCAAACTGAGTTTCGGTCTGCACGTTCCTGGGTTATTCCCCCGCTGGGTTTTTGGAGCAGTGTTTCCTGTTGTGGGGTGTCACACTTCCAAGGAGGACCCCCAGGTTGGGAGGTTATGGGATAACCTGTCAGAGCTTCCCCTGGCTTCCCTACAGCCCTTGGCTCAGGTTTCAGCCCTGCACCGAAAACATGTAAGTTTTGATTTCATCCAAGCTGCTGTGGCTTTGAGCTTTTCCCAAACTAATCAAATCAAACACAACCTTGTTCACATAATCCTGCAGGCTGGGATTGAAATCAGCAACTCCTCAGGCTTCAGCGGTGTCTTGTGGTGGTGAATTCCAAGGATTAATCATGGATATCTTCCCACAATATAGCCTACATCATACCCCTGGTAATTACGGACCTAAGGGAGCTAAATCAAACTCATAGCCTTTTAATTTGCTTTTTCCCCCCACAAAGATTTGTCAGGGAGCACCTGTGAGCCACCCATGGGTTTGGAATCACGGAATATCCTGAGTGGGGAGGACTCCACAAGGATCCCACTCCCCTGAGGAGTGATATTCCCCATGAGCTGCCAGAAGAGGAATTTCCAAGGCCATTGTTCAAAAACCTGTCAATGTTTTTAATATTATCTGGAATTTTGTCCATGTTTGAACAAAAACATTGTTCAAAGACAAATCCATCCTCATTATGGCTTCTTTTTTCCTTTTCCCAGCCCTCCAAGAGCAAGGCAGAGAAATATCCTCAATTCCAGCAGGGATTTCTCAGCTCGGATAAATCAGCACAGCCCCACCGATGCTGTGGAGCCTCTCCAACTTACACCTACTCCAGAACCTGCTCTCCCATATTTTATATCCTGTATTTCCCTGGCTGGGGATGAGGAAGGCTCCATCAAAGTGCCTGTTTATCTGACATTTCATCCCAGAGGATGAGCCAAGAGCGCAGGACCCATCGGAAGCACGGCTGACAAAGTGCAAAGAAAATCGTCGTCTTCCGCGGTTGTAATTCTTCCCAAAGCTTTGCTTCCAAAACTTTTTTTCCACCTGTTACAAGGAAAGCTGTCCTGCTCTGCCTGGGCTCTGGAAGTGTGTGCTGACAGGCTGTGTGTAATGTCATCTCCCTGCTTCCAATCCCCTTCCAAGCTCGGGAATCCAGCGGGCTGGGCTGAGGACGGCTCTGTTGGAAGGGGGAGGAGGTTGTTTTGTTTTCAAACTTTATTTTAAGGGCTTGGGTTTGCTCCTATCCTAACGAAGAGGTTGGCACAGATGATTAGCTGCCAGCAGGATTTACAGGCAGGCTGTCCTTCAGAGCAGCAAATAGCTGTGGTCACTTGGTGCCCAGCTCACCCACAGCAGCCTCTGCGCTCACTTCCCATAAGAAACGCTCAAGGTTTTGCTCCATTTGCATTTTCTGTATCCTAGAAAATTAATTGATACTCACCACTTCTATGGGTTCAAAAATTAGAGCAGTGAAGATTAGAAAACGTATCATAAAATCATGGGATGGTTTGGGTTGGTAGGGATTTTAAAGCTCATCTCATTCCAACTCCCCTGCCATGGGCAGGTCAACTTCCATTATCCCAGGGTCTCCAAGCCCTGTCCAGCCTGGCCTTGGGCACTTCCAGGGATCTCAGGGCTGCCACAGCTGCTCTGGGCACCTGTGCCAGGGTCTCAGCACCCTCACAGGGAAGAATTTCTTCCCAATATCCCACCTACCTCTGCCCTCTGGCAGTGGGAAGCCATTCCCTGTGTGCTGTCACTCCAATTCCTTATAAACAATCTCTCTCCTGGCATTGGAAAGCTGCTATTAGATTATCCCAAAACCTTCTCTTCTCCTGGCTGAACAATCCCAATCCAAGATACTCATCAAGCCTTGGCCACAGCAGTCTTTTCTCAATACACACCTTTATCTCTCCTCTACCAAAACATCTCTATCTAAGAAGCAAATAATGGGAATTTTGTTTCCTGGCCCAGCATGTGAGACACTTTCTGTTTCTTGGGGTTTTTGTTGGGTTTTTTTTTTGGTTGTTTTATCACTCCTTTTCTATGAAACTCTTTGTGTTGGAAAGGAGACAGTCACAGAGCTCTTAACATTTTCCCTGTATGAAGAAAAGTGTCTTTTCATCCTTAAATAATTATTCATCTCATTCCTTAATACAGACTCGATATATCTGCTCTACAGTGTTCCAGTAACAGCCAGGCACTATCTCAGAATCGTGACTCATCTTCTTATCCCAAACTATCCATATTCCTCACAAAAACACCCGGCTGAGCACTCTTAAATATTTATGTCATCCCCAAAAGAGAGATAGGACTGGTATCAGCAGATCTGAGCCAAGGCTCAAGTCCAGGTTTAGAGCCCAAGTTCTCAGCTCACCCTGTGATTTTTAGAAGGGTCAAACCTGAGCATCCAAAATTTGCCTCTTGGCTTGGCTTGGGGTTTTTCACGCACAGGAGTGGAAAAGCAATCCCATCCTGTCTTGGGGTTTTCACTTGGAGGAACTGAGCAGAACAATGGGGGGAATCCAGCACAGCCCTGTGGGTTCAGTGTGGGCTCCTGTGTGGGAATGTGTCCCCTGAGTAAAAAAGTTACCCTTTGTCCCCTTAAAAGGAAAAAGCCCAGAAGTTTCTCTCCTCAATTTGGTTAAAAGGCACCTCATAGCACCTTGGGGACTTCACCTCAAACTTAAGGACACCCAACTGGACAGGAGCCAAAAAGTTCCATCTAAGCAATTCCCTAGAAAAGAAGAGAACAAAAGAAGTTAATGGCGTTTGTGAAGTTTTTTAGCAGGAGCAAGAATCTCTTGTCCTGACTCAGTTTTTCTCTGTAAAGAGCTTTTTTATTTTTGCCTTTTATTAAAACTTTTTGTTTCCAGCTCTGCCACAGGAGCCATCCTGCTCATTTTATGCCACCTGAGGTAGTTGAGCTATCAAGGGTATAATGCTTATCTCTGAGAGCTTTTACAACAGCTCAAAAAGAGAAAAAGCATTACCTGTGGGACATCCTCAAGGGACAAGGGGAATGGGGGGATGCCCTGGGGTCCAACACCTCAGGACCAGGGGGAGGGAACATGAGTGGGGGTTCACCTTGGAGTTCCTAACCCGGTGTTGTAGGATGGACCTTTGGTGGGTTGGTTTGGACCACTTTTGATCCCACTTCCCCTGGTTTTGTAACATCTCGAGAAGTGCTGACACCGGCCAAGGCGTTCCCATATAAACACGAGGAAAATCAGGCAGATGAAACTTGGATCTGGACAAGGGTGCTGGGATCCAGCTCGTTGGCTTGAGCTCCCGTGTAACTCACATCCAGCAGAGCAGAATTTGGGACTTTCTCCCCTTTCCCAGCCTGCCCACGGATCCCTCGCTGTCCCAGGAAACAGCCATTGTTCCTAACACTCCGTGCTCTCTGCAATTCCACACTCCCTCCTTCCAGGTCACCTTTTGGCTGCTTCTCTCCACCTCCCCGAGTCCAGCATTATCTCTGCTGATTGTTTCCAACTATAACACATCCTGGATTCTTTTTTTTTTTTTACTTTCCAGATAATATCAAAACTTCTTCCAAGCTACTTTGTCCTCCAGCCAGTACCTTTTAAAGCTGACAGGAGATGAGTGTGACTTGTATCTCACAAAGCTGGCTTTCCACTTGAGGCATGCGGGCACAACACAGGAGTGCCAAAGAATTAGATATAACACAGAACTGGACAAATGCAAAGACAGATTTAAATAAACCTCAGTTCCAAATGTGTCAATACACTCATGTTGATTGCTGGGCTGTTAGAAATCCAGGCTGGATGTACAGACTAATAAAACAAGAACACTCACAGCCCAGAATGAGATAACTTCTCCTCAAGCTGCTTCTTACAGAGTCCTGCTGGGTGGCTTGGATTGAGCTCCACGGTCCTGTGTCCTTGGTTTCCATGGACTGAGCACAGAACCAGGATCTGTTTCCCTGGACTGAGCACAGAACCAGGATCTGTTTCCCTGGATTGAGCACAGAACCAGGATCTGTTTCCATGGACTGAGCACAGAACCAGGATCTGTTTCCCTGGACTGAGCACAGAACCAGGTTCTGTTTACATGGACTGAGCACAGAACCAGGATCTGTTTCCCTGGACTGAGCACAGAACCAGGTTCTGTTTCCATGGACCGAGCACAGAACCAGGATCTGTTTCCATGGACTGAGCACAGAACCAGGTTCTGTTTCCATAGACTGAGCATAGAACCAGGATCTGTTTCCATGGACTGAGCACAGAACCAGGATCTCTTTCCACAGACTGAGCACAGAACCCGGCACTGAAACTCAAATTCAAGCGCTCAGAGCAGAGGGTCTGCCCCAGATGGTCCCACCAGCAGTTGTACACAACCACAAGGCAGGGCTGGCTCCAGCTGAGCACTGACAGCTGTTTCGTTCATGCCAACCCCTCCACAACCTCATGGCTCCGTCTCTTTGCCTTCACCTTCCTCCTCCAGCTCCTTCTCCCAGCACAACAGCAGCAAGAGCCCGGCTTGGCTCTGGTTCCTGAGCCCTTGGACCACAGTACTGAGTTTTGCCTGGGCTGATGTGAGATCTTGAGCTGCTTTTCCACAATCCCACTCCCACCAAGGCCACCGTGTCAGGTCCTCAGTGGCTGCACTTCCCCCCTGAAGCCACCGAAGCCAACGGAGCTGGGCTGAAACTCGTCACCTGACTCACTTGGCTCTGGACCTTTGATTGTGGACTTCAAGGAGAAGAAACTCCAGCACTCCATGACTTTTTCCTGACCCCAGAAGAGCTGAAGTAATAAAATGTTCTCTGGTCATGTCCAAATCCCACAGGAGCTCTCAGTGGAACAGGCCACAAGCGTGTGCAAGGTACAAACCCTGCGCTTGGAGACCGCAGCCACGACCCGACGGCTGAGAATGTTAATTGTTCTCCATCGCCCCCAGTGATTTTAACATTTCATAATTCCTCCCCTGGCTGACAGCTGGATTCTTCCTTAATTACAAACCCGTTGGAGTTGAAAAATCAGACATTTCCTGGAATTTAAACAACCAATTTTCCACCCGTCAGCATCCAACAACACAATCCTACAGCTTCTTTCTGAGCACGCTGGAAAAAAGTCGTCAGAGCACGCTGGATAAACGGGGGTGGGAAAGGGATTTTGATGACTTCATGCATTCAAATGCAGCATTCCTGGATCTTTGGATTCCATTGAAAGGTGGAAATAGCACTGACAGAACCACAAGCCCACGTTTTTAAAAGGCAGCATGCGGTTAAATACTGCAGATGGATCTTTTAAACACAGCGTTGGCATCCGACTACGCAATTATTCCTCTCTGCCTTAGGAAACACATCTTCATTCAGAACTATTGCAGAATAAATGTTGATTTTTTTTTTCCTTCACCGTTTGCCACAGGATTTGCTCATTTTCTCTCTGCAGCAAATTGTTGTGACAGTAAGGAAAAGCTTCAAGCTCCCAGTTCTCAGCCTATTGAAAAGACAAAAGGAAAAAACTCTTGGACAGCTGCTGGCCTCCAGGAAGCTCCAGGAATGGAGACCCACCATGCTGCATCCTAATTGCATCCTTGGGGAGCAGCAAAGAGCCCCAAACTCATCCAGCAGAGGCAGAAACAGCAACACCACTTGACAGGACATCTCAGCTGCTTCTTTCTCTTCCAGAACCCACAGTTTCAGCCATATGGGGTTTTTATTTTATCTTTTTTTTTTTTCTTTTTTTTTTTATCAGTCTCTATCTCTTGTGGTCATGGGAAAGGAATAACCCTTCATCTGTAACTGATTAACGAGGCTGGTGCTCGAGTTTGCAAGGAGCCTGAAATGAGAGCTGGTGGAGATCTGAGGATCCTTGCTTGCTCCTGTGAACTGTGTGCTGTGACCTCCTGGAGGGACGTCACTGGATGGAGTCTTTGCCTTAACTCAGAGAGGACAACTGAGAATGGAAAAAAAAAAAAAAGCAACATCACATACCCAAAATGACCTTCGAAGCTGGGACTACACAAAAAAGCTGCCTCAGTTTGGAAACCTTGAGGCAAGGGCTTGGAAGTCATTGAGTCTGGGGCAGCTGTGCGACGAGGACTTTCCAGAGGAAGCAATTTTATTTGGGAAAGCAATCCTGGGACTTGGAGTCCTGTTTGAGCCATGGAACTCGAAGAACTTGTGTATTTTGCATTGTTTTGGGTTTGTTCTCCCCTTGGGAGCAGCTGGGTTTTCCCCACATTGTCCCATTCTCATGGGTTGGTCTATTTTGGCGTCAGCTCTGTTTTCCTGGCTTTTCCTGGATTTTCTTGGAGGAGGAGGGTCCATGGACAGCTCCTTCCTCTCCTGTGGGACACAAACTGCCCCCACCTCTGAGCGTGGTGCTGCACCTTGGCCAGGGCACCCAGGGGATGGAATTGAGGAGCCAGCAGGGATTTGCACTTGGGGGGAGACTGAGCCCAGCCCAGTTTAACACCTCTCTGCTCGGAGCATCTGTACAGCCCAGCCTGAGGGGATGATGCAATTGGGACCGCTGAGATTTCCCCATCCTCGGCTCATTTAAAGCAGGTGAGAAGCTGTGGAAAATGCTCTGGAAACAGTGGGAGATGATTTGTCCCTGGACAGCTGAAGGAGGGGTTGCCAAAGGCATTTAAAAAGCTCTTTTCACTTTCAGCAGGGAAAAGGGAAACCAAGGAAGAACACCTGTTTCAAGCAATAGGAGCAAACCTGGAGAACACCTGCAGAGGGTTTGGAAAATGGCCTTGTCAGGCAACTTAAATGGAAATGTTGTTCCTAAAGTTTGTCGTCAGATTTGTGCATTCCTAACCCAGAAACCCACAGCAAAAAAACCAAAAAAAGTGGGACAAAAACCCTGAGGGTGACCAGAAAGAGCAAATGCCACGTAGGTGACTACAGCTGGGGGGAAATATTTTTGGGAGAGGCTGTTTGAGCCGTTCTCACTCTTTCTGTCAGCATTTCGCTGGATGCAGCTCACCAGAGAATTCATTTCATCCTGTTAAACTCCATTTAGTGGGAGTAGCACGGCCTGTGGAGGAAAATCGAGGATGCCAAGGTAAATCTTCCCCCAGTTATTAGTGCTGGGAGGGGGTGGGAAGATCTTTAATAAAAAGGGAGGCTGAAGAGAGATGTCTGTTTTTCATAATTGCACAGTGCTCCCAAGACAGCTGTTCAGCCATCTTGAAAATCAATGTTTTGATGCCCTTTGAACCTTCTTTTCCTGTTGAGTGTCTCTCCTACAGGTTGCTCCCCAGGATGAAAACAATAAAAGCAAATATATAACAGTAAAGGCCTGAGGTTAATGTCTTTAACAAGATAATGTTACTTAAGGGAACTGTAAACCAAATCATTCTTAAATTCCATTTGTTCTTTGCAATCTAGGATATATTATGAAACCATATGTGTGCCTATGGATTTTTTACAGGAACACAACTGCATTTTCACATTGTGTGTTCCAATGTTCCAGTATCAGACGATTTGCTGACAATTATTATTAATCTAACTATTAATACTTCTATAAATATCTTGCTCTTGCAGCTGTGCCATAAAGAATCACAGCCTAACATGTCTGGCTGTGGGTTAAATGTGCAAGATCCAAACAAATTTGCACCAGGTCGTTTTACCAGGAATTTCTTTCTTTGGATTGAGTATCACAAGGAAATTCAGTCCAAGCAACTGGCACATGCCCTTATTATTTTTAAATTCTCACCAGTGAAGAGCTTGCAAAAATTGCTTCAAGCTGCCTTCCTGGTGTGTTTGGGAACTTCAAAAGAGAAAAGCAAACAGGAAAGGGTAAATAATCTCCTGAGCACATGTGCTGGGTTTTACACCCACTGGAAATTCCACTCAAGCCGTGTTCAGGTAACTCTGTCCAGAAATTCCTTTTGCAGAATTCTCAGACGTTCCCTGCAATTCAATTAGCTGGGAGCAAATTTGATATGAAATGAGACTCTGACCCTATGTGTGTGTTTCTTTGCCTTGATTTTCAGGGAAATGGGAGCCACAAAGAAATGCAGAGCAAAGGAGCCAGTCGAGTTTATTTAACTTTCTATTATCTACAATGCTATAAAGCCTGGAAATGAAACAGAAACAGAATCCTACAAAACATTTTGGAGCTTTTCCAGAAAAAATTCTAAGGACACTTGTTCCTGCTGATGTCTGCACCACTGAATTAATTTGCATTAAGCCAAGGGAAGGAAAATCCCTGCCAGTCACAGTCACTCCAGGATGGCAAAAATCTCCATTTCTTGTGCCTTCAAATTACAATCTTACACAGAAGCAATGGATGCAAGAATTTAATCACCATGAAAAATGCTGAAAGTTTGGGAAATATTGGCCTGAGTCCAGTCCTTCCTCCTCTTCTCCTCCTCCTGAGTCTGTCAGGAATATTTGGCTTCATGTCTGCCACAGGGATCAGGCAGGAGGTGTTTGGGTTCAACCAAGAATCTCCACCTGGTCAAGATGGAAAAGACAAAGTTCCTTGCCCCTATTTATAGCATGGGCAGGTTTAATCAGCCCTTTTAATTAACCCAACCTTCCCACACCATCCCAGCTGCTCGTTAATTGTCCAAATTCTTCCTTCTGTGCCAGCAGCAGAAGGATCAGAACCATCCTCCCACCATTCCCAGGATAAAATTACATTTTCCCAGCTCATGTTGCACCTGCCTTCATCCATAGGGTGTTTATAATGGGACACAACAGAAAATGCTGCTGTTCAAACCAGCAGACATTTTAATTCGTATTTATTAAAGAAAACAGGTTAGCAAGGTGATGGTTTTCCTGGTAGCAATTATATTCCCAGAAATAACATCTTCTGTAGTAGATTAAGGGAAAATAATCAAAGAAATAATAAAAGAAAATGACAACAATTTTCAATGTATCTCAGCTTTTTTACACTTGCAGCAAATCCTGGATTATAACTTGGAAAAAAAAAAGAAGATTTGATAAACATTTGATCATGAGTGGCAGGTTAAGGTCGTAAGCAACAATTACTCACTCTTTCTTAGAAGGTTGAAATTTTAAATTAAATGTTTAATTTAATAAACAATAATTAAATGTGGTTCTAAAATGAAAATAATATTTTTTTGCACTTCATAATTGCAATTAAAAAAAAAAACTTGCCTAAGGATATTTTGTGTACTAAGAGCACAAAGAAGTCTAAAAATCCACTCCTTGCTGCCACTGGGAAAAGAATGACAAATTTTGAATAAAAATCAGCATATTTATATCTAAAAGCCCTTGAGCACTTCTGGCTCTCAGCTGGTTTAAAGCTTCTTGTGGTTTGCAACTGATTTTTCAAGGGATCAAATCCTGCAGCTCTTTGCTGTGTGTTTGCCAGTGTGAGATTTTCATTCTGGAAAAGGCAGAGAGAGATTTGGGATCCCTGTGCCATAGATTTGGAATGCCTGTGCCAGAAAGACAAACTGACACTCCATCCTAACAAACATATCCCAAAACAGCAAAGAAACATTTACCTCAACCTCCCACCAACCAAAGTTATTTTTAGATTTTTTTTTTCCTAAATTAAAAAATAACCACAGAAAGCCCCCAAAATCTTTTAATCTAATCTTGGCTAAATTTTCCCGTTCAATGCCTGAGGGATACAAGATTATTTATAACAGGAAACCTTTGATTTCGGAGCTTTTATGTTTGAGGTTTTTTTTTTTTAATTTTTTTTTTTTTTGCAACGTTCCAACTTGCAAAGCATGGAGTTGTTGGTTTTTTTAGGCCAAAAAAAAAAAAAAAAAAGTAAATTGCAAAGTGCATCCAGGGTTAATTCCGCCCCTGCTGCTGGAGCGGGATGAGATCCATGGGAAGGGCTTGGATGGTCCCACCCTTTGGAGAGCAGCATCCCTGTGAGTTCCTGGCAGGAATGGCCTGGACACAGCAGGGACAGACACATTTTGGATCCCCTGGGGAATTTTCCTTCCCATTAGCACAGTGTGAAATCTGCAGCGGGGTCAAGGCAGGGCCTGAGCATCTCCCTGACAACAGCACGGCCAGAGGGGCCTTCCCAAGATACATGGAAAGAAAATTTCTCCTGGACTTCACAGCTCAGAGGCAGGGCCGGGAGAGGCACGTGGATGGTGCCATCCCATTTTCCCTCCTTTAGGGATGTAGGAAGTGCAAAATCCAGCTCTTGGGAAGCCTCTATATATATATATATACTCACATATATATATATATATATATATATATATATATCAGCCTCATTATACGATTATGGCAATGTAATAATTAATAAATACCTGTTTTATTTTCCAGCATCAGCCTCATTACACAATTATGACAATGTAATAATTAATAAATACCTGTTTTATTTTACACATCAGCCTCATTACACAATTATGACAATGTAGTAATTAATAAATACCTGTTTTATTTTACACATCAGCCTCATTACATGTTTATGGCAATGTAATAATTAATAAATACTTGTTTTATTTTACACATCAGCCTCATTATACCGTTATGGCAATGTAATAATTAATAGCTGTTTTATTTTCCAGCATCAGCCTCATTCCATGCTTATGGCAATGTAATAATTAATAAATACCTCTTTTATTTTACACATCAGCCTCATTACACGGTTATGGCAATGTAATAATTAATAAATGGCTGTATACTTTCCAGCATCAGCCTCATTCCATGCTTATGGCAATGTAATAATTAATAAATACCTGTTTTATTTTATACATCAGCCTCATTATACGGTTATGGCAATGTAATAATTAATAGCTGTTTTATTTTCCAGCATCAGCCTCATTCCATGGTTGTGACAATGGGAAGATGCCAGCAGCTCACGTCCCCAGCAGCAGGCACAGAACTCAATGTTACAACTCACTTTAAAAGCTTTTTGACCAATAACACAAAGCAAAAGCACACTGACAATAATTCTGTCCAACCACTATAAGCACATGTAGCTTTGGTTAAAACAGTACTCGCTTATTTTAAACACAATACCTGCTTGTAAGCCTCAAAACACAATGCACAGAGCTCCATTATTAAGCTTAGAACTTCCTAATATCTTGTTATACTTTTCTGTAATTTAGGGAGTTATTCTAGCCAAGTGTTAATTTTTAGGACAGGGGCTTCTTGCTCGAGGCTGGGTAGAGAGGCAGGGGAGAGGGAAAAGGTGACAGAGATGGGATGTGGTGGGTGGGGATGTCATTCTCCCATCTTCTCAAGGTTCCAACCACTTCAGGAGCAGTGATCAGCCAGGAATCCAAACCCTCCGAGTGGAATGCACCTGAGGAGATCACTTTGAACTCAAATCATTTAGAATAACAATAAAAATGGAACGGCTGCCCTGAGCTCTGGCAAAACCATTCCTCTGAAAGTTGAATTCTCTGCTTTCCCCATGAAAAACGATGGTTCCCCCTTCCTCTCCTCTCCCTTTAATCCCAGCAATGCTGCATTTATTCCTACTGACCATGGACTTCCCTTCTCCTCTCCCTCCCTCTCGCTCCAGAGCACTCATGAATGGGAACATTTTTCTTACTTCCAGAGACATTTTGAAAGGTTTCAAAGCAAATTCTCTGGAAGCCCAAGCAGAACCCACACTTCCCCCCGTAGCGTGTCCGTGGAGAGGATTCCAGCGAGGAGAAATCACCGTGACCCCATTCCTGTTAGGAAAAATAAATCCCTTTTCTTCCCTCTGAGCTGCAACTCCACGTGGAACAATTTAAGCCTTTCCTGCCACCTCCAGGCACTGAGGTTGGTAATTGAAATCCTGAGGATGGGAGCTGGCCGGTGGACAAACAGGGAATTGTCATTCCTTCGGATCTGCCTTGCTTTTGGATGGTTTCACTGCCAACTGATCTCTGTTTTCATTAATAATTAATTTTTTTTTTCTCTTCCTCTTGAGCAGAGCAAGGTGTTCCCTTTGGAATTTTCATCCCACCGTGTCCCTCTGTTAAACTGCCTCCAAGCCAGCCAGGAGACTCCTCCAGGGAGGGCTGAGGAAACCATCTGGCTTTTCCTGGAATGCTTGAAGTGCTCAGCCTCTGTGCCAGGAAGAAGCTGATCCCTGCCAGCTCTGGCAGGAGGTCTTCCAGGATGATTGCATCTCCTCCACCTCTGTGCCTTGATCTACCTGAGGGGCAAGAAATTGTGTCTTAATTAAGGCAAAAGCAACCTTAGAGGAGGATCTCCAGTCTGCCACAACAGATCCCGGGAGGAAACAGCCAAGATGCTTTGGATAGAGAGAGCTCACTTTGGTTCTCCCAGCTTTCTGTTCCAGTTCTGAAGTTCTCTGGGTTGGACTTTGAGAGTTTTGGTGCCATTTTAGGGGAAAAATCAGCCTCTACACATCTAAAAATTTTCTAATTCTCTGCTCTGTGTATTCCACCCCAATGAACACTTCACCAAATAAAATAAATAAAAACAGCTTTTCCTCTTCTGACTTGTTCCATGAAGCTTTACTTGGGCCTCCACGTAATCCATGGGATTTCTGCAGCATTTAGTTTTAACTCAGTAATTTGTACGGCTGCCTGAGGTGCTTCCAAATGTGCTGGAGCTCAATTCTGGTCTCTTCCCAGCTGCCTAATTAAAACCATGAGTAAAAGGGTTTGGCTGAGGTGACTTCTAATTCTTCTTTCCTCCTCCTTTTATTTTTTAATCAAAAGAAATCTTCGGAGTCAGGGGATTATTCTATGCAGCCCCTTGGAAAGGGCACCTGCTGGAAATCCTACAGAGAAGTGGAGGAGAGTTTTTTAGAGCTCGTTCAGACTGAAAGCCAAAGGTTATGGCACACACAGGAAAAATCAAATCGCTTGTGATCCCCCTCTCATTGCAGCATCCCTTTCGGAATGGTGCCATGAGGAAAAGAAGATTGTTTCCCCCCTAAAAAAGCCTTAATGAAGATTTTGGAACCTCTGATGAGGGGATAACCCTGGGGGAGCAGGGTGTGGATGACAAATGTGGTCAAGGGGAATCAGAAAAACCTGGGAACACCTTTCCACGTGCAGAGGAAACCTCCAGCCTCCTGCAGTTTTTCCTTTATGGGGAAAGACTCGAGTGACAAGAGGCAAAATCTTCCCCTCAATGCACAGAGTGAACTTGGAAGTTTGTGAACAAGAAATGACTTTTCTTCTTGTTGTGTCCACACAGCCAAGAATCAAAATCTGGGCTTTGTAATTGTTTGGTGCAAAAACTCCTGGGTTGAAGTTTGGGTTTCGTGGTATCTGGCTCAGCATGTCCACCTCATGTGGATCAAAGACTACATGGTAGAATTAAGCAAATACAATCAGTGTAATATGATTCATTCTTGTCCTGCTCAGCAGATGTTGGAACAGATGTCAGGTAAAAAACCAAAAATCTGCTGGGGAGTGAGCGTGTTATTTTGAATTAGTGCATTTAAGAGAAGGGAGTATCTCTATTAATCCCATTTAAGGTGAAAGAGAGTATTTATGGCTTTGGTTCCTGGGAAATTCTCCTCCCTTTGCCTTGGATTGTGGGCAGCAATCAGTGGCTCCCTATCAGGAACGGGACAGTGCTGGTGGGCTGGGATCCTTTCCTATCATCCTGCTCAACCTAAATATCAGAAACAACATTTAAACACTGAGGAATTATAGGGTTGAAAATCTGGAGTAATTTCTAACCTGCTCTCAGGGGAAAACCTTTGATTTGGCTTGTGCTGAACAGTTGCTTTCATTATATTCTGGGGAGTTCCCTAGGTCTTTTCTCCTGATGGATAAATGCATTACCAAAAATCTATCTTTTTCTGGGATTTCTATGTCAGCACTAAAGCCAAGGGAGTCCTCTTACACACCTGATTAATCACAGAATTATAGTAACTGCTAATTAGTGAGGCAAATAGTCTTTCAGGCATTTATCTGCAGCTTTAGAGATCCCATCTCCCAGTTTA